TGGCAGGACTATATGTTAGAAGGCTGATCTGCACCGTCTAGTAAAGTGTTCCAAGGCTCATCCAAGCACGGCGATCCCGTGGTGGTGGCTCACTGGCTGAATCTGGCTAACCCATGTGCTTTGTTTGGCCCACACAGCATTTTTAAGCACTTTGATGTAGTTCACAATGTTTTTAAATTAGGTGATTCCCATTTTTAAAAAACCCTTGAAAATTTGAAAGGTCTGGATCATTGGATCCCAATTTTCCCGTAGCATCGGTTTGCTGGAGCTGAATAGCAGCTACTACTTGGGAGAGGGCATATGTTCAGTGGGTTCTTCCCACAGTCTCCACTACTCTCTGTTGCTCTACTCAGGTCACTTAATTCATCTGTGTACCTGGGCCCTGTAGCCATTTAGTTTGTGAGCTCTAATTCTGAGCTGCTTTTCATTCTGTTTCTTCTTGTCTTCTTAGAAAAAAGAACTCTTCCCCACAACTAATGCAGCACTTTGTATTTTTTGACTTAACACAGGCATTGTGTTTCTGAGGTTTTCTGTTAATAGTTGTTAATGTCTCCTTCCAGATGCTTGCTCCCTCACACATTCACTCATCCATCTCTGCATCCACTTACCTTGTGTTTATTGAGTATCTGTACTGCTAATAACTGTGCCAGTCTCTGGAGCTAGAGAAGACGAGTTAAGGCCTAGTCCTTTGTCTTGGGTGGTCCTCAGTTCAGTGAGGGAAAGATTTATGTGTATGATTAACCAGCCTAATGGAATGAACTCATTTTACAGAGACCCTGTTATGCCCTGTTGGTGATCATTTCAGGTATTTTTTATGCTCTCCCTAAGTTGTCAACCCCTATTTTGTATCTGGAATCCAGAATTGGGCTTGATATTTTAATAAAGTCCTGTCTGGTAGTGACTCCAAATAAGATCACTTGTAAATTCTAAATGCTGGGCTCCGTTTTGAGAATCGGCTGCTGTTAAGCAACCGTAGATGTCAGTCTCATTCTATATTCACATCCACTTTGTGGCTTACTGGGAACCTGCGATCCCACCCTTCCTCGCCCTTCATTTTGTTTGTAGAGGTTGTTTATGCTCTTTAGGGTAAAGTGGGCTTAATTTGACGCACTGCTTTCGGCTTCATTGGTATCTGCAAAGCCCTTTAAAATTCTCAGCCCCTTCTTCCCATGATTTCAGGGAGGCCTATGTCATCAGCAGCTGAAGTGAGTCTACTCTTCAGTCCGTCAATCACATCAGGAGTGAAAACACTCAGCACACCTGGCCTAGCGTGCCGCCTACAAAACATCCCACTGTGGGATGTTTATAATCCCCCTGGGGATTACAGCCACGGGAAGCCCCCTGCTCAGGGGATGAGGCCTGCTAGCTCCCTCCCTGCAGTGAGCCAGTGTTGCCCAGGGTGGGAGCAGTATCCCAAGTCATGCTCCTGGGAAAAGGGGCCCCTTGGTCAAGTAAATTTGGGAATTCCTGCATGCCCCTCCCTTTCTTGAAGATGTACAGTACCTGTTAAAGACAAGACTGTTAACTTTACAAAATGGTCCAGGGAAAAACTGTATTTAATTTTGTTTCCTCCAACATCATTCCCATCTACTGGCAGCAGGGTCCTTTTATCATGAAATTTCTATTAAAAGAAGAAAAACTTTCTAGAATAAGATAACGATAATTGACAATTGTTGAGTATTCTTTAAAAAAAAAAAATGGTCTCAGTGCTTTCTTTGAGTTAGGCCCTTTGACAGATAAGGCAGCCACGCACAGACACTGAGAAACTTACCTGAGGTCACACAGCTAGTAAACGGCAGAGCAGAGAATGAATCCAGCACTAACCCTGTTCAGGTTATTGCCTCTGTAGCGCAGATAGAAGCAAGACGAAGTGGAGAAAGCAGCAATATCTAGATATGGTGTTTTCACGGTGGACCGCGTATCATGCCGCCCCATTTCATCCCTGCGAGTTTGGCTTATGTAGCTAACTGTGGATCTGTGGTTTCTTTCTGCATTTGCGGCTCAACTTTATTTCTCCAGGGGTGTTTAGAAACATTAAGGAAAAAACAGCCTGTGGCTGTAGGGAAACTTGGCTTGTTTCATTACTTTCCAGCCGACTGGGATCTTTGGTTACAAGCGAAGTTTATTTGATTTGATTTTCACTTTTAAGATGAGAGGGGCTTTTTTGTTTTTCTGTTGCATTTTAGCATCCTGCTCTTCAGAGTGACCCGGCACAGGGCATTTTTCTTTTTATAAATTCCACCTTTTAAATGCTACTCTATCTCTGCCTCTCGCTCAAAGAACTATAAAGGATGACTTCCGTTTTTCTTTCCGTTTTTGGAGTTAACATGTCAATCTGATGCTGGATCTCTGTCTCCTCAGTGGCTGTGGTGGTGACCAGGCACAAGTCCAAGGAGCTAAGTCGCAAACAGAGCCAACAGCTGGAGCTCCTGGAGAGCGAGCTCCGGAAGGAGATCCGTGATGGTAGGCTCCAAAATTTTATTTGTAGAAAAACAAGCCTTTTTTATTGTCTTTTTTTTTTTTTTTTTTTTTACCCTTAAATGGAAACAGCTACGGTAATAAGAAGTGTTTTTATAATAGAAGACAACTGAACAGCAGGGTCTGGGCCTGACTTTGTGTCTTATTTCAGCTCTTCTCTGCAGCCAAGCAAGTAATTATCTATTGTTTCTTCTCTAATGAAAACCAAGGTCATACTTCGCGTTAGACAAAGCAGCAGAGGATTTTATCCATTGTTTGCCGAGTTAAAATATTGCTCTTGGGATTCTGTTTTGCAGGCTTTGCTGAGCTGCAGATGGATAAATTGGATGTGGTTGATAGTTTTGGAACTGTTCCCTTCCTTGACTACAAACATTTTGCTCTGAGAACTTTCTTCCCTGAGGTAAAAGAGCATTGATCATGTTCCTAAGGTTGAACCTTGAATAATAATGAAGGTGCTTGTTGCTATTGTTAAAACGGGTGTTTGCTTCGGAGGCAGCTGCAGATGATGTGCCTGGTACAGAGTAACGGCTTAGGTTTGGGCAGAGCAGGGAGGAGGAGAGTTATTAATTGGATTGATTAGGGTATAGAGCAGTGATGGGTCACTGGCAATTACTCTTTGTCCAGTAACAAAACCCTCAGAGGGACAGAAGTTCAGAGTGATGATTTTTGCTTTATTTTACTACCAGTTTAGAACTGAATTTGTAGCTGGGAAGCAAGCTAGTTTATTTAAAAATCAATAGCTTGTGGGCTGGCCAATCTGTTGTGTTTATCTGCACGACTTCCACCACAGCTTCTAGATTATTCACCATTACTTCTCAATTGGAAATGAAAAGTACTACTGGCCAGGAGACAGGAAAGTAGACATGTCTAGGAGAATTTGAGTTGATAACAGCCATGTAGAGTTTTTGTGGTTTTTTAGCAATGTAGAGTTTTGTGGTTCACTTCAGTAGCTGTTATTTAGCTAATCAGTTAGCATCATCCTCATTTAGGAGCAGTAGCTGCACCCAGTGAAGGATTTGTGGCAGGAGTCCAAGGAGTAGTCTACTCAGCCCTTTGGGTTTTCGGTCTCACTCATGTTCTTACACCTCCATTTTCTCACCCACTCACTCAGCCTCCTTCATTTACCCTCCCAAGTCCTTGGCGAGGTCCACTCATCCTCCTGTCATCACTGCCTCGTCCTGATTCCCCAGCTCCACCAAACTGCCCTTTTTTGTCCAGAACTGGTGACCACAGAGAGCCCCAACCTCTGGAACACATCAACACTAAATATCACGATTAAATGTAGACTTCTAAACAAAGCCAGAAATCTTTCCAGGCCAAAAGAGAGGTTGTATCACCTTCTCCGAAGCCTCTCAGCTACATTTGGCCGGGTGCCTAGAGTTCAGAAACTCAGACACATGCAGTAAGCAATTTCTAGTTTCTTTGTCATTCTAGAAGTGGACACCATGATACGTGATGTTGTGTCTGGAGGTTGGGATACCGCCATAAAACACCCACCATATTTTTTGTCCAAGCCTTAATGTTGTAAATCAAGGAGGCTATAAATAAGATTTCAGCTTTTTGCACTTGTAAAGTATTTCTTTTAAACTTATCCTCCAAGAGTACCAGGCACCAGGACTTGCCATTTGTCACCTGGTCCATTTCTACAGGAGAGCACCCAGTGGGGAGGGGAGCTCAATTCCCTGAATCAGGATGACAGTGCAGAGCCTCAGCAAAGCTTGCATCACGAGTCCCATTCCCCAGCTCTCTGAGATCCCCATTAAGAATTTAATACCAAGAAAATAGCAGAGATTTCTACCATCAACATGAGTACTGTGTGGGCTTTTATAGTTAATGATTGCTCTTGAGTGCTGAAGAGAGTAATCTGTGGCCTGAAAAAGAAATTTTCCTGTCTTCTAAATTCAGTAATCAAGAGCAAGATAGAGTGATGAATGCAAAGGAGGACTGTTGCGAGTGTTTGAAAAATTCCAGGGACACTTCTGTATTAGTGCACTGATTTTCAATTGGGGTGCCGTGGCACACTGGTGTGCCGCAAGAATTTTTAAAACATGCAACACCTGACTCTTTAGTCAGGGGCACCAACCTCTTTTCCCTTAGATTGTCAAGTGAAAAATGACAACAGCCAACACAACAATAGCCATCTGGTGTGAATGAATCAAAATTAGACCTATTTTTTTGGTCAGATAGGCCAAAAATGTGATATAGTTTTTGGCATGCCAAAGAATCTTAGTAATTAGTTTATGTGTGCCATGAGATGAAAAGCGTTGAGAGTCGCTGCTTTAGGAAAAGAGAGAGAGTTGCAAGAAGCCAAACTGATTCAACTCTGGGTTGTGTACAATCTTTGAGAAGACCTGGGAAAAACAAGAATAAATTTATCAGAACTCTATCGAGAAGACCTAAGTTAAAACTGAATAATAATTAGGAAAAGATACAGTGAACAGAGGAACATATTCTATTAGGACAATGCCCACTGAAATGCATGCCAGGCTGCAGAGAAGCCCTCCCGTTAACCAGGCCCTCTCCTGAGAGATCAGGAGCCCCCTACCTTAGCCTGGGCGTTGGGTGGTAGAGGGAGATTTTGGGTGGTCACCACCTGCCAGATAACAACAGGCAAAACCCAAAGGGAATTGGAGGTTCGCAGAGGCCCAGGCATCACCAGTTCCTGGTTCTTCACCTTGCGGTTGGGTTTGGCTTTTAAGCCTTGCTTTTCATTATATTGACTACTTTGTTTTGATGAAAATAAGAAATAAGGGTAAGCAGAGCATCTGACCTCCTAGAAGAGGGAAATCTGAATGAAAGGAAGTAGGAGTCTTAGGGAAGCCAAGGCGGCATTTCCCTACTTAAGGTCAAGATGCAGACTGTTTAAACTGCCTATCTGCTTAAAGTTGGTTCAGCAGAAAAATAGTAGGAAGTAGGAAATGCAACCAGTGTTCAATTTTTCTGCCTACTACCAAGGGAAAGCATGACCAAAATAGTTGAGGTCTTCTTGCTTGGACTAACAAATCAGAAATTCTCTGCAGAAGAAGTTTAATAGATAAATAGCCTGAAGTTCTAATTTTTACCAAAAAAAACCCCAAAAACAAAAAAAAAAACAAGGAAAGAAAAACAAGTTTATTTTTTATTCTGTTGACTCATTTAAAGTGTTACTCAGCATTCTTTTTAAAATTTAATCATTTAATTCCAATAAGATTTATGGTACATTAAGAAAAGAAAATTCAAATTTAAAAGTTTATATCCAGGGGCTACATAGCATCACTGGTAAAAATATTTTTAGGAAGCAGCAGGAGAACAGGACTGCTGTATAGTTCGCTGTAAGTTAGATAAAAACAATAATAGCTGACATTGAGAACTTACTATGCATTTATTTATTTAATTTTCACATCAAGCCCATGAGATGGGAACCACTATTGTCCCCATTTTGCAGATGAGGGAAGTTGGACACAGAGAGGTTAACTAACCTGTCAACAGTGATATGACCAGTATGTGATGAAATCAGGACTGGAAGCCAGTTAGTTTGGCTCCAGATTTTAGCTTTTAACCACTCCTCTCCCTCTTGAATAACACTGTGTATCGAGACAGTAGATACTACTAAGCTAAGACATGTGAAAGTTTACCAACACAATTCTGTATTTATGCTTCGAGGAGTTGGTTTGCATATTTGCATAATCTTCTTTAACCACACTTCTTTAACTTTGAGTTAGTTCTTCTAAAGTGTGAGATGCCTTCATCTACCAAAAACGGGACTGATGCCATGATAATTATTATTCTTAGAGGTTTTCAGAATTCATCGGTGTTTCTTGGGAGCTGAATAATTATTTATTATGCATTAGAGAATATGCAGTGAGCATAAGCCCAGGGGCTCTTCGGATTAGCAAATAGTGTCTCTGCTTTATTAAAATGGACTTGGGTATTATAACAAAAAACACTATTCATTTCCTTTGGATGTTATGAATAATAAAAGTGTCTCCTTCCTCTCAGTCAGGTGGCTTCACACACATCTTCACTGAAGATATGCATGTAAGTCTATAAGTTTTCATTTTTAGCCCATGACTGCCTGACTTGCATAGTGTTATCATCATCATCATCATCTCCATTATTACTTTGAATTTTTATTGTGGGTTTTTTGGGATCATGAATTCAATATGAAATAATTCATTGTCTTGGAAAACCCATTGTGAATCTATTATCTAACTTTAAGTTATATTATATATTATATTATATTATATTATACTATACTATACTATACTATACTATACTATACTATACTATACTATACTATATTATACACTTTTCCCCCCCAGAACAGAGAAGCCAATGACAAGAATGAGAGTCTCACAGCTTTGGATGCCCTAATTTGTAATAAAAGTTTCCTTGTTACTGTCATCCACACCCTTGAAAAGCAGAAGAACTTTTCAGTGAAGGACAGGTATTGGTCAATTTGTTTATATTTTGAAAGTCATTAAGTAGAGAAAATAAAACCTGAGCTCCTTATTTTATTTCCAAACCACAACCTGAGCTTGGTATCTTGAGAACAGGCTGTTTGGCTGGGTGGTCCCGCAACTGTGGTATCTCCATTTCAGATCACACCGCCCCAACACAAATTCTTTTCTAAAGACACACACATGCAACTTCCCTCCCCCAAAAAATCCCTGAAAAACCCCAACACCGAGAAAAAACATGAGTCCTGAATCAAAACAGTGGAAGTGATACTTTCTATTTTTAAAAACACCCTGAAAATTCGGGAAAGACGTTCACTTCTTGTTACCACTCTAGTTTAAAGTTCAAGGACTGAAAACACATAAAATGTCCTGAAGTTAACATCGGTGTGTGATTTTTACGGATGGAGAATGAAGGTGGTTGAAACCCAGACAGTTTTTTAAAAAGCGCCCCTGGACAGGACCCCGTTGCCCCCCAGCTGCCACGGAAACTGCCACCTGGGCCAAGCGCAGCCACCTCCCTGTCCGAGGCTCTGCGTTTTCCTTTGTGTGTGTGCTTTTTCTCATCTGTATATATTTTTCTTTTCTCTTTTATTGAGATATAATTGACATACATTGGATAAGTGGAAGGTATACAGCAAGATGATTTGACATAAATATATGGCAAAATGATTGCTACAATCGTTTAGTTACTCTCATATAGCTGCAGAAAAATGCTTTTCCCCCTTGTGATGAGAACTTTTAGGATTACCCTTTTAACAGCTTTCCAATACACCATACAGCGGTGTTCCTATAGTCACCATGCTATACATTACACCCCCAGGACTTATTTATCTGACACTTAACTGAAAGTTTGTACCTTTTGACCCCCCTTCATTTGATTCCCCCTGCTCATCCCTTAACCTGCTGCTGGTAACCACAAATAATCCGATCTCTGTTCCGGTGAGATCATAACATATTTTTCTCTCTCTCTCTGACTTATTTCACTTAGCATAATGCCCTCCAGGTCCATTCATGTGGTGGCAAATGGCAAGATTTCAGCCTTATTTATGGCTGAATGGTATTCCATTTTGCCATGTGTGTAAATGTATGTACCACAGCTTCTTAATCCATTCGTCCACTGAAGGATACTTCGGCTGTTTCCATGTCTTGGCTATTGTGACCAAGGCTCTATTTTTAAACAGGTGTCTGTTTGCCTCCTTCTTAACCATTGCCCTGCAAACCAAGCTGGTCTATCTGACCAGCATCCTGGAGGTGCTGACCAGGGACCTGATGGAACAGTCCAGTAACATGCAGCCTAAACTCATGCTAAGACGCACCGAGTCCGTGGTTGAAAAACTCCTCACAAACTGGATGTCCGTCTGCCTTTCTGGTTTTCTGCGGGTAAGTGTCGAATCCCCTCCTCGGCAGTGTCAGAGGTAAGACAATAGGCAGTTATTTTTAGCAGCTGCTGATGTCTTTGCCAGGATAAGACCTGAACACTCCATGGAGTCAGCATTCACTCGATTTTAGTCCTGGTGAAACCAGAAAAGTAGGCACTCCTGTTACCTGTCACCACCAGAACCAATAAGTAGAGACAGATTGAATCTTTATGGCCGCTTTATTCAAATGGCCTGTGATCTGAGAAGAAGGCAGGTTGTGTCCCCTAAAGACCGTCTTACATCTCATCTCCAGCTGACCCTTTTTAGAAGGAGAAGCAAAGTGTAGGTAAAGGCTTTGGAATTCAGGGAAAAAGTTAATCAGATAAAAGCTGCAGTCCAGTGATTTTCGGAGCATCCCTTCATCTGCTGACCAGTGATTCTCTTTTTTATTTTTTATTTTTAAATATGTTTTTATTTATTTCAGAGGATGGGAGAGGGAGAGAGAGAGAAACATCGATAAGAGAGAGACATTGATGGGCTGCCTCCTGCACACACCCTAGTGTCAAGCCCACAACCCAGGCCTGTGCCCTGACTGGGTATTGAACTGGTTACCTCCTGGTGCGTGGGATGACACTCAACCAACTGAGCCACACTGGCTGGGCCTCACTGGTGGGTGATTCTTTATCTGCATCCTGGGTGGAGCACAAAGGCTCCAATACTGTCTTGGTCACTTGCAGTCCTCCTGGGGCACAAAGGTCTAATTGTTTTCTGGTGTCCCAAAGTCAGGGCAGGTCCAGTCATACATTTAGTATCTGCAACAATAGCTTTCTACATGCATCAATTACCAAGCTTATTAACTGTATATCTAAAGCTAAAAATTTTTTAACTTCTTGAGTTCCCCATCACTGGTCCTTACCAGGAGCACACAAAGGGGAAAGTAAAAATTGTTTTTGGTGTAACTGGCCTAATGCAAATGTAATTCATTTAGAATTTCCTCAGGTAAGACTCTTTTCTTTTTAAAAATGTTATTGTGGTAAGAACAATGAACATGAGACTTACCCTCTTAACAGATATTTAAGTGTTAATAGATTTTTAAGTGTTGTTATCTATAGGCACAATATCATACAGTAGATGTCTGGAACATATATTGCATAACTGACTTTTGAGCCCACCTCACTTCATTCATTAACAACCAGAGCCCAGTCGGCCCCCTTAAGAAACTGTACTGAGTGGAGGGAATATTTCAGATACTGCAAAGAACACCCTATTCTTGGGGGCCTCCGAAGCATCTGGGAAACACCCATTTACGTACCAATGTGCTGTAAGCTAATTATACTCAATTCTAACCAGTCATCCCATATTATAAAGCAAGTCCCCAAAGAGCCTTCGCCCCTTGAGTCCACTTTGTTGGAGTCACTTTAACATCCTGGCTGTAATCTAATTGAATCTTAAAACGTTTTCGAATGCAAACTTTGTGCAGATTCCAGTGGTTCAGAGAGTAGGCCCTGAAGCCCACTGCTTGGTCTGAAATTAAGACTCCACTTACCAGAGGCCCTGAGCTGCCTGAGCCTTGGTTTTGTAACCTGTGGCACTGGAAGAAGATTTTAGGCCTGTTTTGAGGCACAGATGGAAATGTGTGCAGTTGCTTAGCACTGAGTAAGCACTCCGTAAATGTTGGCCATCATTATCATAAAATATTGATAGAAGAGTGAGAGTGTTCTGTTGAACCCAATCTCCACTCGGCCCTCTGAGGCCCCTGGTGCAGAAGGTTCTTTTCCTTTAATTTCACCAGCCATCCAGATTCCAGCAAAACTGCATAATTGTGTATTTGTAGCTAGTTTCGAAATCTAATTAAACTTTGAATAAGATATACTGCTATGCCACCGGTTTTAACAGTGCTACTTAAGTTTAGATCCAAAAGCAGCACTTTAAATAGACTGTGCTTAGTTTAATGTTTAATGCAATCTTACATGTAGATGCACAACATTTTTTTTTTTTTACCAACCCCTTCCTCTCCCAAGGCAATACCCATTTATTAAGATTAATGAAATCTGCCTTCTTTTCTGTTTACTTGGTATAAATCATCATACGCTTTGGGGAGGTGTTCAGTGATTATTTCTGGGGTGAATATTTTTTGCTTTCCACCAATCTAGTTTCGGCCACAACTTCCTCTAAACGGAACCCTTTTAAGCGGGACTCTTACCTAGTTTTCAGGGCTTAGTTTAAAAGGCAGATGGCTGCCCCACCACAGTGCCATTGAACCAGAAGTTCTGCAAGTGGGGGCCCTATTACCCATGTTTTCTAAGCTCCTCCAGGTAATTCCATCTGCCCGATATTTGAGAACCCTGGGATAGTAGAATGAGCACTGGACTAGGAGTCTTGGTTAGAAGCTACAGGTTCAGGCTCTAAATTCATCTGAGCCCCAGAGAGCTATGTGTCTCTGGATATGGCATCTACCCACCAAACAAGGGTAGTGGTCATTGGTTTTAAATTCCTTTCCAGCTCTTCTGGGATCTTGTGGTTCTTACTCTGAGCCCTCAGGGGTTGGTTAGAACCATGCTCTTGCTGCCCTTGGATGAGTCACTCCAAAAATCTGGGCTCTAAGCCCAAAGGGCCCCCTTGAGCAGAGGGTTCTGGGTCAAGATTCTGCAGTGCTAACTGAAGAGCATCTTGGGGTGAGGGGGTGGCATGCTCACCGGGAGGAAGTGGCACTGAGCCAGTGGGCGATACTTTCATTTTCAGTGGAATAATTCCCTCTGCAGTGGAGGGCCCAACTTCCCCCACTGGGCGCCTGAGGTGGTGTAGGACTCTGATAGCTCTAGTCCCCTGCCCTACCCCACAAACATTTGACTGGGTGCCACTGGCTCTGTAACCTTCAGGTAACTACCCCTGTGAACCTCCCAGGCTCTGGCAGTAAAGTAACAATAATATAGGGTGTCCCCAAAAAATGTACACGCACACTTTGAATAATTATAAAGGCAGTATTTATAAAAATACATTTCATTTTCAAAACTGAGCTATCAGCTGTTAAAATGTCTATACATTTTTTGGGACAACCCTGTAGTAATGACTGCCATTTATTGAATGTGCCAGACATCATGCTGGGAGCTTTGTTCACCTTTTCTCATTGAAATCCCATGAGGTAAGTACCTTCATGACCATTCTACTTAGGGGAGAATTGAGGCACACAGCATAGATGTGACTTTCCCCAGACCCCACAGCTAGCGTGCGATAGCGCCAGGAATTGAGAGCTCTTAGCCTCCCCACTTACTGCCTCCCCAGCGAGGCAGGTACCTTCTTACAGGCTTAGGAGAGGATTTAAGGATGGAAGGAGATCACAGGTGCTGAAAGCCTCTGGCTCAGCCAGGACCAGAGTCAGGTCTTATGGGAAAAGTCAGTGAAGGGGCCAAGCTTAGCTGCCATCATGGGAGGGGAAGAGTGGGGCCAATTGGGTGAGCAGGGCTCTGCCGCAGGCCAGCTTCCGAGGCCACTGTGTGTGCCCTGGTCTGAAAAGATGCTTAAGCCCTCAGCAGGTATGACTAACCTAGACGTGTGTTCAGTGGTGACAAAGAAACCCCACGGCCCATGGTTTCCTAAGCCTGCTGCACAGCAGAGTCCCTGGGAAGGTGTTAACACTGCAGATGCCCAGGCCTCTCAGCTGGAGAGATTCTGGATCTGTAGGTCTAAAGTAGGGCCCAGGCTCCTGAACTTTTTACCAGGGCCCTTGGGGATTCTGCTGATGAGTATCCGGGTTATAACCACGTCTGTGAGCAGCAGTGTGAGGTGAGTGTAGCTGCACTCAGGAGGATTCCTTTGAGTCCTAGCTGCCCCTCCACACAGCTCCGGAGAGCCCACCTGGCCCTCGACGCCAGCCTCTGTGGGCCCCTCCAGCCCCTCACGAGGGCACTACCACGTCTCTGATGTGCTGGAGGAAAGGAGAAGCGGAGGTTCTTGTGGTTGGGACATTACCTAAGAGGGTGGAGGGAAAGAGAAGAGAGCAGTGTGGTTGTGAACCACTAAATAAAGGAAGTTTCTCAAAGGAATTCAAATGTTGTGTACTAGTTCCAACACTCCCTCCACCTGGGAAATTTCTGAACATTTCACCCCTGTCCTACACTGAGGAGACTCAAGGGTGTTTCGATGGGGGGGGGAGAGAAGCGATAAAGGGAGCAGGAGGAAGCTGCGGGACTGGGGAGGGCTCGTGCTCTTGGAGTTGGTATAAAGGCTGGGATGGGGGGGGGAGCAGGGCCTTAAAAGAAGCCTCAGTTTATGTGTGCAGAGGAAGCGGGTGCGAGGGCCAGTGTGTGCTCCCTTCAAGCCCGTCGGCCCTCGTCCCCTGGCTGCCTCGCCGTGCCCGCGGAGGCCTTCGACTTCCTGGTTCGGGCCTGGCGCTCCCTCCCCCACATATTCTCCTTCGTGTCTGTTGTTCAGGGAGGCTTATTATTTAGCAACGCTGCAGCAGCAGAACACACAAGCTTCCACTTGGGCTGCCCAGGCTCCATTTAAGCCCAGAGTAGCTACACATTTGAGGCATTTCAGTAACAGCAGAGGTGGCAGCCCCTGGCCCAGGAAAGGGTGCAAGTGGCAGAAGCATGGAGAGAGGAGCCCTCAGGATGGGCCGTCAGGATGTTTGGCAAAAGCCTTAGCGCCGGCGGGTGGCTCTGGTCCAGGGAAAGGAGGTGACACACACTGTGGCTCCGCCCCCATAAAGGTGCCCAGCGGGACCGCGCGCACTGGGTCTGGGAACAGCATGGGACCGGCAGGAAGGCCGCCTCCTTCATGAAAGGCTGTGAGCACCCGATGTCTGAAATGTTCTTATGTTTATTCTAGTTACCAAGGCTAATTGTTGTGCATTTTTAAAAATGCCATTCATTTTCGGCTTTTCTAAAAAAATAAATAAATAGGGATGTATGCAAAGGCTCAGCCTCTGCATCTACTCGGTGTTCTTAGGTGTTCGCCAGCTGATGAGCACTGTCTGCACACACAGGCCTCACAGGCAGGAGTGCTCCACCAGCGCGTGCACTTCTTGTGGCTGTCGGCTGAGTGCATGTGCGCACGTGCGCGCGTGCCCGAGTTTTGTTCTCAGTCCTAAGTGGAGCAACATGTATTTCCTTGGGAGTTTGCTGTTGGTTTTTAGAAAACACTGCCTCCTGTCTCCTGCCACACACTGAAACTTTGATTCTTTGGAAAGTACAGTGGATTCTGCAGAAAGCTAACTGTCACTTTTGTGTCTTTTCCAAGGAGACTGTTGGAGAGCCATTCTATTTGTTGGTGACAACTTTGAACCAGAAAATAAACAAGGGTCCCGTAGATGTAATCACGTGCAAAGCCCTCTACACTCTCAATGAAGACTGGCTGCTGTGGCAGGTCCCGGAATTCAGCACCGTGGTACGTCTGTGCTGACCGTTCCCATCCGGACTCGGAAATAAGTCTGGCTGGGGGTTGGAGGGTAGGGTGAGGGCTAGGGGATCACTTACAGTGAACAGGTATCATTCCTACTTGTGGGAGGCCTCACACATCTAGTCAATTAAAAACAGTAGTTGATAAAATGTTAACACGTGTTCACATAATAGATTTTAATTGCTTGGGCTAGGGGAGAAAGTATTGTAATGATGCCTGGGGTACTCATCAATTTCCAAAGATTTTAATACCAGGATTGCTTATAGCTTTCAGCATCGTCAAAGGAAATGCAAAGTACTCCCTATTCAGCACTTATAATTGCAATCAGAATTTCTCAAATGGCTCTGCTCTGCAAGACAATGTGTGAAGATATATTTCAGCCAAATTGAGGCCATCTTATTTTAGAATGATAACATAAAACAAACTCCACTGTGTTCCCCATGCAACATGACGCCCTTACTTTATTTTCTTGGATTAGTTACAAATGTTTGGTGTCATGCACTTAATGTTCTGTGATCTCATAGTTATTTTTAGAGGAAAGCTGTAAATCATTCCAGGATGATTGCCTGGCTGCGGGAGGGTTTCACCCATCCGAGAACTTGCTTTCCACCCATCCCCACCCCACCACCACCCAGCCACTTCCCCCCCTAAAGAGAGAGGGACCAATTTCCTGCACATACAGGAATTTTAGAGAACGAAGCATGGTAAGTATCTCCAAAATTACTTAGGAATATTCTGCGCTTTTCTATTAATAGAGACTTGGGAAAGAGATTGCTGTGTCTTGATTTGATCTTTAGCCCTATGGACACTCTGAGCTTCTTCACAATCTTGTTAGTGGAGAAGCAGGAAAAAATGACAGTGAGGTTTTGGGATCGCTCAGTGAGGGATCTGAGTCTGTGGCTTTGCTCTGCGTGGCGAGCACGGCAGTGTCATCCTGGAAGAATTCATCTCCTAATTGGACAAGGCACCACATTGCTGTAGACCGCCTTATGGTTATGTTCTCTGGTGGCGGCGTAGCCCACAGATCAGTTGTTTCGAGTTCTCGGTCATTGGAAGATATAGCTCACCCTCCACTGAAGATGGCACCATGCACACACAACTGCCATCCACCAGGCAGGAAGCTGAGCAGAAAGTTAACAGTTCTGTTTTCCATCTGTACACCATCTGCATGGGAGAGGCAGTGGGGTGCAGTGGTTCCCAAATTTTAGTATGCATTAGAATCACCTAGAGGGCTTAGTAAGCACCAATTGCAAGACAGTACCCCAGAGTTTCTAAGCCAGTAGATCCTGGGTATGGCCTGAGGGTTTGCATTCCTAAAGAGCTCCCTCCAAAAGCACATTTGGAGAACTATTGGAATAGTGGTTAAGAACCCTGACTTCTGAGCCAGGCATGTTTGAATCCTTCCTCTGTCACTGCCTAGCTGTGTGACACTGGGCAAGTTTCAAAACCTCTCTGTGCCTCAGTCTCCTCGTCTGTAAAATAGAGATGATGATCACAGTGCCTGTCTGTCTCATGGGTTAAAAGAGTCTGTATTCTGCAAAGCACTTAGAACATTGCCCGGCATGTGAGTGCTATTTAAAGCTTTATTAAATTTAATTCATGGCTCTTCGGGCGCTTGTTAGAAATGCAGATCCAGGTAGACCAATGCCTGGGTCTTTCCTTGGGAATGATTAAATCAGCGTCTCTGGGGATGGAGAACCCACTGGCATCTTGGAGATCAAAAGATGAGCTTTGTATCTGGGCCTGTTGTCTCTCCTTCCGCTGATCCTGAGTTTGTCTTCAAACCCAGGGCCTTGGTCCTAAACCAGAAGATGTTTGTGCTTTTACTTTGAAACATTTTAGAAGCCCCACAGGTTCCCAAAGAGAAATACTTGCAAGTGAATATAGGTCAGGGAATCCAGCAGTAATTTACTTTCATGAAAACGTGAACCCCAACAGGAAGGAGAGGGAAAGGAGAAGATGGGATTGGGAGTGGGGGGAAAGTCAAATGCCTGAAGCGGCTTTTGAGGTTTGAGTCCCTTTTAATGCTTTACATCTGAACACTTTTCCCTTTAATTTTGAAACATTATTTATTTCACAGTCAATTAAAACCATGTGCTTATGATTTGTTAACACTCAACTCATCATCAAAGTGTTTCCTGATGTTGAAGAAATTCATGTTGACTCTTGGGTTCTTTTTTCCTTTCTCACCCCTGGGAGAAAGACTAATGGAAAATTATGATTTTAGATGTCCACATAAATCTTCCTTTTCAAATTTGGATTTGCCATCAGATGTCTAGAGTCGAGACTGGAAAGGGGGTGGGCCACTTCTTTCTGGGGGCCTTGCCTTTGACAGTGAACTTTAATGCCTTTTATTGGCTCTGTCCCAGCCTCTCTTTCATGGCGGATGATTGTACTAGAAGCTCCGGAGGAGGCACGTGATCCAGTCTATGCTTGTGTGACAAAATGTTAGCAGAAGGTCAATATAAAAAATTTAAAGGTTTTCATTTCCTTTCAGGCAAGTTCCACAGCTTTAACCCTCACATCTCTCTACTCCCTCCTCCCCCTCGCTCTCACTTTAATTCCCCCTCCTTGGCATGTACACCCAGTGGTTTGAAGTCTTGATTTTCTAAATTTGCCTGAGGTGGTTTAAGTAATTGAAAACCAAGGTGTGCTGAACAAACTGGAGTGAGTATGTGTATAAATTCTTTCAAGGAAGAAAAGTCAAAAATCCAGAGCAGCCCCGTGACAACTTGCAGTGACAGCCTGGTGCCATGGCAGGGACACGTTTAAAAAAAAAAGGCCCCCCAACTCCTGTTTGGCTAAATGCTCAGAAACACAGCACCTCATATAGCAACCTAAAAAGGAGGGCTCACACCTCTAAGATTAGGATGTGTTCTCCCTGAGGCGTGGGGTGTTTTCTAGAACACAAAGACACCCTGCCACTTCTCCTACATGAAATTGCTATTCTAACAAATGGGCTCTGAGAAGTCCTTTATTCCCTGCATCCCGAGAGGAAAATGCCTCTGTTTTTGCTCAAATGTAAGAAAAGGCCCCTGGTCTCCCTTCCTCTGGCGCCTTCAGAAACCACCCCCTCCCACGGCGCCGGGGCTGGGGCGCAGCGGGGCAGAGCGCCCAGCGTTGCCATCCTCCGAACGCGGGCCCCCGAGGTCTGTGAACCGCAGGCCTGTCCTCCTCTACTCCCCCGGGACTCGGGTGTGACAGCTAGAAGAGGAATGAACCCTCTCCCTCTGGTTTTCGCTCCTCTGCAGAGCTGGGCACGTTGCTTTTGTGGCTGGAGAACCGGGCCCTGAGCGAGCCCTGCGGGGAGGGGGCGGCTGCAGGGCCCCCGCCGAAGCTTCGGAGGCGCGGAGGCCTGCGGATTTCAGTCCCGGGAAAGTGTACCAGGGGGAGAAAGGACATTTACTCACTTTCAGGAAGAGATGAGAAAACCCAATAACTCGTAGCAAGTGTGCTGAATTAGCAAGAGAAGAGTGACTTGTAATCAAAGTTAGGCGAGAAATGTTTTTTTGAACCCTTAAACCCAGGAAATGAGCCTGCCAGTCGCAGCATCTGAGAGATAGCATCTTCACAGCCCGGGCAACGTGTGCCAGCACACAGATCATTGCCCTCATTCTCACATCTATGAGCAGGTCTTTAAGATTATTAGAAATTCTTGAAAAGGCACAGATACATGCCTGCAGAAATCTTAATGCCCCAACCACGATTTATTCAAGGTTGATGCCCGCCCCCACCAGTCTGCCTTTTTTCGCCTCGTAGTTACCATCTCTGGGATAATCGTGTTTAATAAAATATGTCACATAGAGCGGAGCCCCCGGTATCTCTAGCAAGAATTTCTCATCCCCGTGCTTCTGTTGGCACGGTGGCTGTCCCCACCGCTCCCCAGCTCCTTGTGTCCCATTTAGTTTGTCCTTTCAGGAGATTCGTTATCCCCACGATTAAACAACCCACTGTCCCAATTAAGTCATTCTCTCTTACTTCAGTTACATCCCATTGTTCATTAAATCCTGATGTTTGTACTTCGGCAATCTTGTTTTTAATACCCCTAGCATTTGTGGAGAAACAGTGAAGTTAATTAACAATTCTTGAGCTTTTCCCCCCTTTTTCTCTCCACCATAATGCAAATCATTTCCATTATGACTTGCAATAATACTGAAACCATTACTAGCTTTACAGTTACTGTTCTGAGCTTCCTGACCAAAGAAGTGAAACCATTTTTTATAATCAGTTTAGGTAAGTCATTCCCTAGCTGATGATAAGCAGTGGAAAGTAAAAAATTAATGTTAAATGAGTGCCTCAAATGACTTTCCTCTCATCCCCTTCTCACAACCCATAATCATGGAATTAGAAAATAATTTAGTTACCTAAATACAAAAGTATTTAATTTTCTTCTTTATGGCTCAGATGTGACTCTATTATTTCATTGTTAAGCATCCTTATTTACACTTGTGCCCCTCAGAGAATGGTAACTTTTATATTTATAGCAAATTGTGGCGGAGATAAGGGCGTTTTTTAGAATTGTCTTTTCTTGCATTGTCAAATTCAGCATTCCATTTGAAGTTACTAGTACCTAGAGCAGGGGATCCGCAAACAACAACCTATGTGCCAAACATGGCCCTGCTGTTTGTTGTTGTAAATAAAGTTTTATTAGAACACAGCCATGTCCCTTTATTTACTATTGTCTATGACTGTTCGTGCTACAACTGCAGAGTTGAGTAGTTGTAACAGAGAGGATACCAGCTGCAAAATCTTAAATATTTACTATCTAGCTTTTTACAGAAAGTTTGCCAGCTCTAATCTAGAGCTTGATATAATAGAGTAGGAGAACTGGACTCCACCTTTCCATCAACCCCAAGAGCCTGGGCCTCTTTCCTCTCCTCCTAGGGACACAGCAATAGAACTGCCTCGTCACTCTCCGTAAATCTGAAACTCAAACTTCGCCAAAAACCAAAAAACTGTGAAAAACTCATATTAAATCTAAAATGCTG